AATATTTTAAGATAATCTGGAGTTAAATATACCCCTGAGAATGGAAATTGCTCAACTGTCTCTAAATTATCTCCATATATTTTCAAATAAGTATTTCCTCTAATCTTCCTTCTTCGGAAGAACATTAAGAAAACATAAATCTCAATTTCTCCCACATTTCAGTTTAATTTATTCATTCTTGTAATGTTTTTATTTCCAAAGTCCCATCTTCCCAAAGATGAAACTTACAATAACAGATAATAGTAAAGGACACTCCCCTGCGTTTCATTTCCTACCTCATTTATTGGAAATTTCCAATCATTCTTTTACCTGGATAGTTAAGTTCTCTTAGTCAAAAAGTCCTTCATCCAATTAAAAACCTTTTCTCCAGTTCCCACTAAACATAAGTTCATCAGAAGCTACTTGTTACTTGCACATAGCCTATATATATATATATATATATTCTCAAAAGAAAAACGTCCTACTTCATCCTCTCATCATAACACAGGATCCAAATAACCCCTGCATTTCCTAAATCCACTTTTAAGTATATCCTGTTTCTCTGAATTATATATTTGTCTTTAATTTTCCATTCATTCCATCAGTTTACACATGTGCAACGTGAAGGCAATTGGTCTATAATTTATAGTTTTTGTTTGTCTGTTTTTCTCATGGAGGACATTTTGACTTGTCATGGCAGGTAAAGCACAGGTGAAATATTAATTATGTCAGCCATCACACACAACATGAGGGCCTTGGAATACCCACGTTATCCTCTCCTCCTCTGTTTTTGGTATAATTATGTTAAGTTATTACTTTAACACATATGATCTCAAAAATAAGCCCTTTGATTAGAATAGATTTCACCATTAAATTCTAGTGAATAATTTAACTCTAATGTATTTAACTAAGTGTTGCCCTGAAGAATCCCTGCTGTTCCTCCACTTTAGCAACCACTTTCATGTCATACCCACATGATGGCACCAGAGTCTTAAATTATCTGCCCATTCCACACGCTCAAGTTTACATGAATTAGTTTTATGGCTTGATGCCAGGGGCGAGCCAGTAGTGTTACACTCTAACAGTACATGGGATCAACAATAATTGCAAGGGCGTGGTTGTGGATGACCGAATGGTGAGTAATTGTCCCTGTGTAGCACACACACACGTACACAAATCACCACTGCAATAACGTAAGACTTCCTTCCTCTGTGTTGTGTGGCATTATGTGACACTTGAGATTATTTGGAACAGTTATGCTGAGCCGAGAGAGTTACACAAGCATTCCAAATAAAAGCTGATCTTATTTCATTACTCTCTGATATATGTGTAAGTACAGTGGCCCCTGAGAGCTGTAGGTGTACATTTTGACAGGAAATATTAAAATTTTGTTTTAATTCAGGCCATCTCTATGCCCAAAAAATAGTACAATAGTATAAAATAAAATACAATAAAAGTAATGCAGACATTCAAATTTATTTGAACTTGTAATGTTCAACTAGTAATGAGACTATATAAATACATTCTTATGGTTTTGCTCATTACAATCTCATAATACCAGTGCTGGAAGAAGTATTCAGATTTTTTACTTAAAGCAGCAACAAGGAATTTTGGTCCTTTGGACAAAAGTGGTAGTGTCTGCACCACGTTTCATTGATTTCAAGGGGAACTAGACCAAATCCGACCTGGTGGAAAAGCATTAAAAATAACTATACAGTAATATCCAGTCGTCTCGCTGATGCCCTTGTTGGTTTAAGTAGGTCATAAAGGGGCATCAGCAATAAACTGAGACTGTTACATAACCAGTTACAAACTCTGTGTAGTAGGTTTAAGTAAAAGTAGTAATACTCAAGTAAAAGAACACTCAAACAGAAGTACTAATTAATCAGAATTCAATGTTATTTTATCATATTATTATTGGATTATTGTCACTTGATGCATTAACATGTAAATAGCATTTAGATTGTTTAGGGAGGGTGTCCTGATTTGCCCATTGATACTTCTTTTTGGTTATATTTGTAGATTTTGTATGTAAAATTTCAAACTGTAACTAGTAACTGTATCTGTAAATAAATGTAGTTGAGTAAAAAGTAAAATTTTTCCCACAAGTATTTTAGTTGCATAAAATGAAAATAGCCAAGTACAAGTACACAAAATTGAAGTGCATGAATAAATGTGATTTGCTATTTTCCACCCTTGCATAATATGCACAATGTAACCTGGTGAATGTCCTCATATGACTGACTCCTGACACATATTAAATAATAGTGTCGAGTCAGAACATGTCAGGACAAGTTGATATTCAAATTATACGGGGAGGAAATGTTAATTCTAGCTTTCAGTCATCGGTTATGATATTGAATTTTCTGAACTGTTTGCTCGCAGTGACGTGGGAAACACAGCCCGATCTTACCACAACTCTGGATAAGCCACAGTGACTCAGAGCTGTAACCTGCTGCAGCATGAACACACATGTTGAGTGGGAAGTAAGTGAATAGGAAGAGTTGTCACAGTGACGCAAAGGCTGGTTGATCCAGTTTTTTTGTGTGTGTGTTCGCAACAATGTGCCAGTTTGAGTCTTTGTAGTTTGCTCTTTAATGTTATTCCTTCATGGAGGAGTCAGAAATGTGATGATGTGCTTTTTATTGCCATGCACCAAGAAAGTCCAAACTGCGTTCAGAAGGTTAAGCAGACATGTAGCAAGCAGCATAACGACACAGAGAAAAACATGTGGTCTAGAATATGCTAAATTCAGGTCATACCAAATCTATCAACTGTTGTCACAGTTTTTCTGAAGTCTCTTTTGTTCATGTTACACAACACAGTGTACCATCATTCCCTGGTACAGAGAGTAACCTTCAATGGAGAGGGGAAAAAAAACTTTCTAACAAGATTTTTTTTAGATGATAAAACAAAAATTAGATCAAACAAGGCCATCCAGAAGTCAACCCAGATACCGGGGTAAAAATGAGCCAGAAGGGCCTGTCCACCATTGTTTGGACCTAAGTGATAGTTGATCAAATTACATGTAACTTTGTAAAACTCTAAAAGGGAAATTGGAATCACATGTTGGCACCTGTAAACACAGAAAATCGGCATACCATGACAGCTGGTGTTTTCTTCTGCAAAGTGCAGTCACATTTTATACCCATTTTTGTATTATTGGTGAGGAGTACAAAATGGATCCAGAGGCTTGCAGGTGAAAGAAAACAGATGTTAAAGGGTTAGTAAGTCCAGCTTTGCTTGCAAGAAGGTGTCAGAATTGTGACTCAGTTAGCTGGATAGTTGCTGATGTGTATTTCTCTTGAAAACTAATTTTTTGGCATGTGCTCCCCTCCCAGTCGAAACTGTGTGTCATTTGTATCGACAGGCCAATAATTCAAAGAGGAAAAAGTTGGAATGATAGAGGGCATCTATATAGTTCAATTTTCTTGTGGTCAGTGGTAACAAATTTGAGGCTTTTTCTTAAAGCTACAACCTTTTTCCACTTGCTTTTATTCCTTATGATTATCACATGAAGCCATAGTTTTACCTGCCTATATCTTTGCCCCTGCAGACCTGCACAAAGAGACACTGAAGGACCCACTTAGAACGACTTAATGCGAGCAGAACACCTGTGATGTACCTGACCACGAAGGCCAACCTCCTTTCACTGCTTACATTGAGGAGTTATTATAGAGCGCGTATTTTCTCTGCGTTAGAAAAGCAAGTATGACATCCACAGTCTGATTTAGGGCGTGACAGACGTGTCTTTGCCAAACACAACTCTGAGTCAGTACCTGGAAAGAGAAACATTACACAGTGAAGGAAGAAAGACGAGCTCTGACGGGGACACCCAACAGCAGAGACGTGCTCAGAATAGTTTGACTTATTATAAAGAAGCTGTTCCATAACCCCAGTTTAGAGCTAAAGTGGTTGGACTTATTTAAGCTTGAATTTAGGAACAGTTTAAGAGCTCAAGCACAGATTTAATCCATCTATGAAAAGAAGAAACAGAGAGACAGGCTTACTTTGGCTTACTGTTACTCATTATTCCACGGTTTAGAAAGTAAACACTGACAATTAAAACAATATTTTGAATGAGATATTTCAGTTGTGAAATTGACGTCAGCTGTCAGTGGACGTCAGCTTCTGGGGTGAAGGAGGACAAGTTACATGCCAGAGTTGCTTCGAAAATTACCACCTTTCCGAACAACTACTAGGGGATAATTTATGTCTGAATTGGCAGGGAGGCAAAAAGTGACGAAGGATGCCGTGAAGCGTTCACACATGCCTCTGTGCAGTGTCGCCTTGACTTCCTCCTTTCTTAAAAAGCTTGATTGTTTTGTTTTATGTATCCTTCAAGCGAACACACAGGGATTGTTTACTTTCCCGTAGGAAAAATAAATTCCTTCCAAACCAACAGATCAGATTGCAGATCAGAGCGTCGTGTCTCCCGCTGTTCCAAGGAACTGTGGTAAGAGGATATGATCCGTTTTAGAGATGATTCTGATTGAGACATTGTAGGTCAGAGTTAGCTGGATGCCTAATTACTAATAAAGCCATTAATCTGGAAAAATAATATATAGAATAATAAAATATTGTGATTTTTTTGGTCAGATTCGTGTTGCTGTTTTGAACTTTATAGACACAATTTAAAGTTTTCTGTTAAATATGTCACACAAACTTTTGAATGTTAAAAACACCAAATTTATTTACCAATTTTGTTGCAAGTATTTTAATTTAATGGGATTTTTTAAATTCACAAATGCAGTTTTTCTTTTAAAAATTAAGAAATTTAAGCATTTTCCTGAAAGATTTTATTCTCTACTTTATAGAAAGACAAAGGGGTATGCACACATTTAAATTACCTTTAGAGCTTAAACTGCCTTTGATATTTTGTTTTTATTTATCTTATATATCAATTTTTATCTTAATTTTTTTTTCTCCTTTACTGTTCTTGTGTCATCTTTTCTATCTTTCTACTATCTTTTCTTTATGATTGGGCTGCAAATACTTATTTTGCTAAATTATTTAAAATACATAAATAAACTTATTTTACTCTGGTGAAATGTTATACCTTAATCATCTAAAATCCAAAATCTAAGACTGAAGATGGGACATGATTAGCACTGAACTGTTTCTCTTTATTTGGGTCAGATGTTCTCCAGTAAATCCCAGTTTCCCGTTTCCTGGAGAGTTTCCCACCACTATCTCTCAATTCCTCAAAAGGTTCAGCCACATAAAAGTATTTCGTTCTCTAACAGACGATGTATACTTTTGACAGTGGAGAGCTGAACGCCCGCCAATGGATCAAATCTACTCTGGAATGCACACACAAGGAAACCCTGAGCTTTATTGTGAGGGCACGAGCCATTTCAGTTCTAACCCTGCCTTTAACAGAAGGACTTGCATGAGAATGAGTGATTGGCGCTCTTTCACATAAGAAATTTCAATATGTCGCAGTCAGAAAAGAAAATGGCTGAATTACAATCAGCTGCTTCAGCTTCAGGGTCCTGGTGTTGTGCATGCCTCACTGTCATGACTTACTGGGGAAATATGTTCATGTTAATAATCATCTGTGAGTGTTTTGCATACCTCATTTCATCGTTTTATTAAATGTAATAAGAAAATGTTATGAGTGGTTTTCGTGGTCACAAAAGGGGGGATGGGGGAATAAAAAAAAAGCAACATGAAGACATTCTCTTAATAAAACAGTAATTTATTTTTGACTCAAAACTAAAATTGTCTGAACAGCACATTACAAGGGCATTGTTAAGATATTTTCTCCAAGGCTCAGTGATCACTTTCATACAGTACACTTGGCATGTACACGGCATCTCCTTCAAATGAAAGAAAAACAGGAAAAAAAATACTCTAAAGAGAAAAGAAATAAGCCCATTTGCAAAAAGAAAAAAGAAAGGAAATCAAAAGAGTCCATCTTGTAGAAAGATGACTGATTGTACAATTACCAAGCATTTTGGTTTGGTTCTAAGCCACAGAGAAAGAAACCGGATCGCCTGGCGAAAGCAGACGACGGCACAGGAGGCACAAAGGACGTGACACAGACAGGACATCCCATAATATGCTCACACACAAATCGACTGGGTTCCAGCTTCTAGGTGTGAAATGTTTAATAGCTTCTATCGTTTTGCTTCTTTTTTTTGTGTGGATATTGTTGCCTAGTTGTTATTTTTGTTGCTTTGTAAGCGAAGTGTTGGTACACTACAATCGAAATCTAGATGCTGCATTCATTAAATACATTAAAATCTGCAATGTAACAAAACCTTTTCTCTGCATATGAAACTCAAACACAGCATTTACATGAAAACAAAAAAAAGATGGCTCCTTTTCTGACCGTTTTGTGCACAAGGCCCTTTCCCCTCCGTCCGACACGAACACCTTTCCATTCTTCTTTTTATTATTATTTATTATTCTTTCCCCCTCGAACTACTTACTTCACCCTCTATGCCCATTGTTCCCTTTCTCTTTCGTTAATCCTTTCACAATCATTCACAGACTGACAGAGAAATAAAGAGTGCTGGATAAAAACATGAGGTAAGAAAGTGGTTTGATTATAGATCATGCAGAACATGCAAAACAGCGACAAAAAAAAAATATAGGAAAGGAGAGAGTAGAAAAAAAAAAAATTGAGTGTGCATTTAAAAATGGAAAGAAAAGAGAAAAAAAAAAAAAAAAAAAAGACTTACACAGCTTTGCGTCTTTGGTTATAAAGTAGGTCGAACAATTTTCACAGCTTTTCATACCCCAACCAAACCCCCAAATTAATTTCTGTTTTTCTGCTTTGACAAAGAAAGTCTTAAAAAAAAAAAAAGAAAGAAAAAAAGTAAATTAATAGTTTTCTTTATCAAAACATCCCATCACATCTTAACAACAGGTGTTCTCCTGTACAAACCCTCCTTGCTCTTAATACTTTACACTTTACAAAATATACATTCAACCTGGATTTCACCTAATGTAAGCTCGGCTTTAGTGTTAGCACTATTTCATGAAGAGAAAAATTTCTATTATGGAACTTATTGCCTACTTACTGAGATCTACTTGTTGCAAGAGACTACCAAATTTAATACCTGACAGATTCTAAAATACCAAAAGACCAAAGAGAAATGTTTCTTTTTTGTTTTTAATAAGTATCTCCATGACATTGTTCATTTACATTATGAAAATAGCAGCCCTGAAATAAATAATGCAAATACTAAAACTGAACTAATGAAAAAGTATTATGATTCATGTCAAAGTACGGTGGCTCTGAGAAAACAACACAAGCTTTTGTTGCAGCATATAACAAGCCGAGGCTCTCAACTCACTCCACTCAAGCCGAGGCGCCCGCTGGCGTCCTCCTCCACTCAGGGAGGATGAATCTTCTCCCCCGCTCCCCCCGCCCACCTCAGTTCTCTGGCCTCGTCCGGACCAGAGAGTGATGTGGGGTGGGGATACAGAGAGGACAGTCCCTGCTGGATGTTACAGGACCCTCATCGGGCCCCTCGAAGGATTGCACCGTCCTCTTCCACCACTTGTTGACCCCCCCACCCCCCTCCCACCTCTCTCTCTCTGCACGAGAAAAGCATGCAGTTTTATGGTGTGCACTAGCTCACCTGCCCCACCTTCTTTTTCAGCTTTCTTGCAGCCAAACACAGGGACAGAATAAGACTTTAAGGGGTGGTAAATGTCTTAATGTGAAGGCCCGGTGACGGCAACGTGCACACACTAAAGCATGGCTCTTGGTGGCAAACAAAGATGTCGCTGTTGATTTTTCCTCAAATGGAGCATATTGAACGCAGAGCCGAGCCTTTTGCTTTATGGAGCTAAGGGGACGGTAGCAGTTGTTGTCTTTACTAACAGGATCTTCGACTCCTGTCCGTGGGTGGTGTGTGTTTGAGCATGTGTACTGGGGGAAGGGGGATCACGCCGAGGTTATGTTGGGCTGATGGGGGACGCTTTGACTGCCCTCGTGGTGCACCAAGGGGGTGTTGTTGTTGTTTGTTACGAGCGGGTGTTGCTGCTGCTGCTGCAGCGGCGGCGAAGTGCTGCTGCCCTGGGTGAGCTGACTGGACAGCTGGCCGAGCTGATCCGTGTTGGCCAGCGACTTCAGTACGGCATTCTCTCGCTCCAACACGGAGTTCCTCTCGTACAGCTCCTTGATGTGCTCTTTCAACACCTCCACCTCCTCGCGAACAGCATACATCAGGTGGCTCTTCACCAAGTCCTGAAAGACAGGAAAAGGGAAACTAAATTTGGCACACAAATGACACTTGAGAAAAAATTTGCATATTTTTAAAGCAAATTCCATCCTAAAACAAGGCAAAAGTCACCTCAGTTTAAAGTGTGATATATATTTTAACTGTGTTACCCAGAGGTCACCTGTCAATCAAACTTTATGGGCAATTCTGAGATACTGAATATTAGATTTCACAGTGCATTTTTTCCTACAGGTTGTTCTTTAGAATAGGAAATGCAGTAGCTTCAATGAAGTGAATAAAAAGGTGCATTTATCATGGATTATTATGTTAAATGTGGGTTTTGTATTTGTTATCTCTGAGACAGTTGTGTCACTTAGCCTCGGCAGTGGGACAACTCATTCTGAACGTTTATCAGGCTTTGCAAAGAAGGTCGCCTGACAACATTCATTCTAGCTTGGAAAATGTGTAGAAAACTCACCATTGCCTGCTCAATCTTGTTATCGATGGCAACAACGCTGGCACCAGATGCACTGTGGAAGAAAAAGGGCGAGAGTTAACCACGTGATCTCATGTCTACCACGTCTCAGATTGATATCAGCTCTTATGCGCTAAACTGCCAAATCTGGTCCCCGGCGTGTTGAGTCTTGTGGGATCTCACTGGTATTTCAGGAGGAAAACAAATTCCAACAGTTAAATCCATTTCCAGAGAATAAGATGAACTGATTTGAGATGGAATCCAAAACACACAAACCAAAAATAAAAACCAGGTACTATTTTTAGCGCACTTGACACAAAGTGTCACAGATAAACACTTTCAAAACCTACAGAGAGCCACTGTTCACAGTTATTAAAAGGCAAAGAGGGATCGTATACACCTACTGTTCACCTACAGGTCAGAATACGCTAATCGCCATATAAGAGATTTACATGAAAAAGCATGAGAGTGAAGAGGGTGAGATGTTAAGCTGTCTCAAGCCACAGCAATGCAACAGGCCGCACTGTGTGGCCAGTCAACAGCTTTTGGCCTGAAAAATAAATAAATGGCTCCAAGTGGAAAATAGTTCACTTTCAATACTGCTTCACAACCTGGACCTTACAGCCCACACCTACTGTACAGACATGTCTGCATTAACCCACACAATCCTACATTAGGGATAACTTAAAAGTCTAATGGCAATATACTGAGGTGGCTCTGGCCTTCATCGCTGCCACCATAAACTAATAACAGTGGATGGGCACAAAACCAAAATCATAACACTGATATTGTTATACTTTGAAGGGACCTTTGTGGGCTTGCCAACGTGTAAATTTCCATTAAGACAGCAGCAACTGAAGCGCCTCACATGATGTCTTTCATCAGTGAGACCAGGTGTCGAACTGGTGATAGGAGACAGTATAGACGGTGTGGTGCATGAATCAGGGCATGATCTCTCTCTCACACACACAAACACACAAAGGATGAATAACAACAAGATCGCATTGTACTAGTCTAAAGGGATTTTTTTTTTTATGTATGGGTATTTTAATAATGTAAAAAGCACAAAGAACCGTTGTTTATCCAACGTATTATGCTCAAATATGTCCACAGTAAGTCAGCAGCAGGAGCCTCGATAACAATGCTCCCGGAAACTGTTTAAAATACCAACATTTCAGCCAGTGCTATCAGCGTTTGTGCATGCATGACTCCACTGTAATGAAAACAGATTACAGACAGGGAGTGTGGCTCCACTCCTGCAGGAGTTGAGCTCCGGGTGCGGCTGCAGTCGCAGTCAGCCATCAGTTTACATTATCAGGGAAATCTCATTGTTCTCTTTTCTCTCTTTTCTCTGTAAAAACACCAATTTAAACCCGTTTTATCGCGTCCCGGCGGTATGTGAGGCATGCATACCGCTTCCATTCCGACCCACTTTGTCAACATGTATGTTAAAATCATCTAAAAGCAGCGCAACAATTTGTTTTCCACCACCCTCCCCCCCTCCAAGGAAAGAAAGGGAAAACACGTTTCCCACTTTACGCATAAAAAGACGATCAACTTACAAAAGCCACACACGAGATCCTCGTACAACCAAACGATGCCAAGTTTTGGGAAAGAAAAAAAACCCACAGGATTTTCTTTCTTTTATCCGTCTCAACAGATAACGATGTCTTGCACAATCACCGCCCTGCTCGGATGTGGATGCGAAAACACACACACACACACAAACCGAAGCGTTTTCATGCCGCTAGACGGTGCTCTGGCATGAGTCTGAGACATGAGGAGGGAACAAAATGTGCAGAGAGAACAAGTGATCATGCTTAGAAGGAGTTAAATCCCATTTTTGATACAAGTCTACAGAGAAGAAAAAAAAACACGTGTTAAAGAGATAAACACCGGGTTTAAGTGCTCAAAAACAGGAGGAATTGATCTTCCTGAATCGGCCCACCTTAAATACACAAACGTTACAGTGATTAAAGATTACAGCAAAGTTGGCAGAGTATAATTTATGTGAAATAGAGTCAAGCGTTTGAGGCTTTTCCCCCTTATAAATAACGCTGTAAAACTTATTCTGAAAGGGTAAAACACTCCAGAAACTACAGTTCAATTTACTGTAGATTTAAAAACAAAAAACATCAAGCATTTGTCATCACCGCACTGTGACCATCCACCTCACATATGGAGCTCCACAACTCCATCCAGCATGTATGTCCCTGCGTGTTGGAGAGCACGTAGGCCTATACAGCGCACTGTGGTCAACCCGGGGGTGGGGGACACGTACTCCAAAACACAAACAGATGCCACACTTAAGGGAAAAGACCACAACCAGACAGAAGACAGTGGTCTGCATGCCTTACAGTGGATGGCGAAATAGTCACTAAATGCTGGGGGAACATAGCGAGAGCACATTCAATTACATGAGATCAAACACTCAGCTGCACATGAGTGAGAGTTAAAGGTTTCATATAAAGAAGCACAAGAGTTTGGTACTGTGGGAGCATGACACCAAGTTTCAGATGGAACTTTAAAGAATAATAATGCATGTATAATGAGCATGTAGGAGGCAGTTAAATCTAAATTATGGATCCTGAAGAAATACGCAGAGCATAAGAAGGACAATACACCCAACGATTGTAACAAGCATCATACTAAAGTGAACCAATCCGACAATAAAACACCGCTTATAGGCTAAAAGTCAATTACCTGCCGCATCTGGCTCTGTAGGACATCAAACGTCCAGAGTATGTCGGTGAGGTTCCCGGCGAGCAGGGCAGGCTGTAGCTCATTTTGCAGCGCATGTTGGCGTTTCTTTAAAGTTAAGTTTCTCCAAAGTGTTACTGCTGTACAACTCCACAGTGAGTGTCACAACACAGATTCGTCTTGTTTGAGTCGGAGCTCCAGTGTGTCTTTAAAAACCACGCTGCTGGGTCACATGGTGCGAAAACAAGGGGGGCGGAGTCCAGCCTCCTCCCTCCTCCCTCCTCTCCCCACTTCACTTACTGCTAGGGGGACGCTTCTACAGATTACATTATTCACTGCCACTGTCTGCCCAAAAATTATACACTCAGGAGGATTTATTCAAAAGGCTAAACGTTAATTAAAAAGGAGACAGTGTTTTGCATGTACTGACACAGAGGTCTGTCTGCTTGCTCCTGTTCCCTTGAGTTTCAGTAGAAAATGACACACTGTTGAGTTGGCATTTTTTTGTAACCAGATTAGCTATTAAAGTTGTCTCAAACTTCATCTTCACAGTAGTTCTCATGCACGAGAGGAGTCTCCACATGTTGGCCACCCAGTGCCATTTTAATGGGATTATCAGTGTAATTTAAAATTCTTTTGATGATTAAAAATCTGTGCCACCACAAACAAGCATGAGCTGTATATCAGTGATAGAAGCTCAAAGGCAAATGAGAATATTATACCATTTTATTTGTCACGTTGATATTAGACGCATATCAGTGCAGTGAAACGCACAGAAAGTCACACTTGCTGAACTGCATGTGCTTCGTAAGTAATCACATTTGTAATGTAGCATTCCACATTTCCACAGTCTTCCTCTATTCTCCTCTTTCCTGGGGCAATGCAAAGAAAAAAGAAGAAAAACACGTGAGGCAAAAGGATTACTGTGATTTAAAATGGCAGCGTATTTTTCTACTCATTTGAATGTAGTTCAGAGGTGATGTATGGCACGACAGATCCACACGGATGTGATGACAGCAGATAAATGAGTCGCATTCCAAAACGGGCAACTCACTCGGCCGTGTGATCTAAAGGCTGATAAAGAGAATACATTCCTCCCTTTGAACTCATCATTTACACATCTGGGACAGAAAGAGAAAAGAATGTCCACGAATTTAGGCTGGAAAGAGACATGCAGGTTGGATCAAATTAGCGTGTCAAATGACTGGCCCGCAGAAGTTACAAGAAATGTTAGGGGAAACGACAACAAAACAAAACAAAACAAAACAAAAATTTGGTGCCAATTGGTGTCCAAGGAAAACAAAGCAAACTGTACATTTTATTCAAGGAGGAAGACATGTGGTGGTTTATGTAAGGACCACTTGCTGTGTTAACCTCAACATGGGCCTTCCCTGCAGACTGCAGCAGCGCACACATGCACTCGTCACCCCCCCCACCAACAAAGTCTCCAGGACCACAAGGCAGCACATTCCAACTCTGGACACCTCCGGCCCCGAGGCCAGCGCCTCTAAACTGAGACATCTGTGTTAAGAGCCACCATCATGCTGTGACAACACAGTCAAGTTCCTTACTGAGGACCAGTTATCAAAACAGTCCTGTAACCACAAGTTTTTGGTTTGGTACTGGCTAAAGTTTGCCAGGTCGTGCTGATAGACATCTCGCCGCCCTGCCCACACAGCTCTGTAGAAAGATGTAAACTCAGTGCCTTAAATGTAAATATCACTGACTTTATCCATGGCTCTGTATCCCTTGAGTCACGTGCATGAGCAAAGTGTGGTCTCCTCCGTCTCTCTGGGTTTATCACATGATGTTTCATAGCGTCAAAAATTCAATGTGCTCTCCATTAAGGGCACAGATGCACCGGCACACGTCCCCGTCGCAAAGCATACAAACACTCCCTGTGGGGGGAGGCAGCTGAATCAATTAGACCCCAGCCCCCTCCCGCCCCCCTTTCACCATTTGCAAGTTTATTTCAAAACTATAGCTGGAGGGTGGGGGCTGTAACAACAGAGGAGTGCACTCACTGACGACTCACTGTGGTTCTCTTTCAGATGCATTCAGCCCTGCTTTAGTTCAGCTCAAGTCGCCTGTTCGCAGTTCAGCTGCTTCGCCAGATGAGGTCAGCAGAGGCTCCGATTAGCTGGGACAAAACTTCAGTGAAAATGCATACAGCAGCTTCAAGCATGAGGAGTTTAGTCATGTCTAAATGATCACAATGAAGTCATTGTCATGGCAGAAATTAACTAGAAGCTTCTATTTGACAAGCTGGTTCAAAAAATGCGTATGTTGTTTCAAAATATGACGTACTTATTTCTGTTAATGAGAAACCATCATTCAATGGTCACAGGATAGCTG